TTATTATCAAAATTTGGGATTTCATTTTTCACATAGAAAAAAAGGCTAATTTCTACTCCATAATTTATCAAATGTATTATGCAATAATAATTATGATCAGAAATTTGCATCTTACAACATCTTAGGGCACGTTTTAAAATATTAGTTGATGTTTGATGTTTGTTTGACTGTGAAATTCAATAGAGAAAACATGTATAGCAAAGTCTGTATGGAAAATCTCTCTGCACTGTATTCTTACTCTTCCCTTCCTTTAATGCTTTTAAACCCTTTTTAACCTTGTCATATTACATTTTTAACGTATATTTTGTTCATTATTATTGTCTATAAACAGATGTGCTTGAGGTTCACAGACTTGATGAGTACTACTAAATTGGATATAATGTTTTAAAATGAAGAAACAATGCAGTAAGGAGAAACAGGGAAATATATATTTACTTTATTTTGTGGTGGTTTCCTCCTACCTTCTGTCACAGTCGAGTAAAAAAATATTTAACAAAAGTCTCAACATCTGTAATGATCCAGTGGAAAGATGATAGAAAACCGTCTTACATTTTAATCTAAAACCCGTTCAATGTTTGTATTGTTATCTTTTGCTGCCATCTAGTGGCAAAAATTAGGAAACGCAACGTCCTATTAAAAATTATTTCACTTTTTTTTTCTTTTTAAATTGGCCTCACGTTGATTTCCAGGTCAAAATGAAAAACAGTCTCAGGTCAGGACCTCAGAAATCTGCTGATCATTCCCCCACGCGCTCTGGAATTCTGGGAAGTTTGCTCTGCCGCCTCCTGATGCTAGAATAAATACCACAGTGAGTCTATTTTCCCAAACTACAACTGTTTTTTTTTATTCTTTGACTTTTAAAATTTTACAGTTTCTGTGTTTTATTTAACGTCAGTTCAACTTTAATTCAAACATTAGTTAAAACATTTGTGCGTGTGATTCTCACAGTGCGCCTTTGTTAATTAAACTGTAAATTAAGATTTTTTTAATCCCAGATTTATTCAATCTTACAGCAGCTCGTGTTTATTTGACAGGGTCTAATCTGTAGACAATTCAGACATTTTATTCTTTGGTTTTAATAAAAAAAAAAAAGCCGTTAAATGTTTTTAACTCAATGGCTATTAATCTCATAATTAGCGTAGATTGGTTAGTTAGGGTGACAGTTAGTCAGTAAATTAAACGTTGAGGGATCTGTTTATCTGTCTTTATCTTGTATTTACAGAAATAAATCAATTTATTTGTAATTTTATCGTAAATGTAGGTCAAGATTTTAGACATTCTGTCTTCTGACTGTTTTTCACCATTATTATTGATGTCCTATGAAATTAATTTATTTACAGTAATTCAAACTAATATTATGGTATACAGATTGACTTTTATTCGAGCACCGGTTAAACACATCCCACCTATTATTGTTAGTGAAGTCCAGGTTGAATGTCTCCTCCTGTCATAAATCTCTGAAAAACAGGATTTGACAGATGATCAAACCCAGCATTTACCAGTGAAATAAGATCATATAAGGTTCAGAGAAACGTTTATGTGGCAGAAGGGTTAAAATCACTGTAGGGGGAGACTTGTGGACAGGTGGACAGAATAAATCAGGAGGGAGAATTGGATTACGTATAGAAAACTTCTGCAGCTGCTGATAATGACGAAGATCAACAGAGTCCGGACAGATTTATTGAGGTGTGAAATTCAATAGAGAAAACATGTATAGCAAAGTCTGTATGGAAAATCTCTCTGCACTGTATTCTTACTCTTCCCTTCCTTTAATGCTTTTAAACCCTTTTTAACCTTGTCATATTACATTTTTAACGTATATTTTGTTCATTATTATTGTCTATAAACAGATGTGCTTGAGGTTCACAGACTTGATGAGTACTACTAAATTGGATATAATGTTTTAAAATGAAGAAACAATGCAGTAAGGAGAAACAGGGAAATATATATTTACTTTATTTTGTGGTGGTTTCCTCCTACCTTCTGTCACAGTCGAGTAAAAAAATATTTAACAAAAGTCTCAACATCTGTAATGATCCAGTGGAAAGATGATAGAAAACCGTCTTACATTTTAATCTAAAACCCGTTCAATGTTTGTATTGTTATCTTTTGCTGCCATCTAGTGGCAAAAATTAGGAAACGCAACGTCCTATTAAAAATTATTTCACTTTTTTTTTCTTTTTAAATTGGCCTCACGTTGATTTCCAGGTCAAAATGAAAAACAGTCTCAGGTCAGGACCTCAGAAATCTGCTGATCATTCCCCCACGCGCTCTGGAATTCTGGGAAGTTTGCTCTGCCGCCTCCTGATGCTAGAATAAATACCACAGTGAGTCTATTTTCCCAAACTACAACTGTTTTTTTTTATTCTTTGACTTTTAAAATTTTACAGTTTCTGTGTTTTATTTAACGTCAGTTCAACTTTAATTCAAACATTAGTTAAAACATTTGTGCGTGTGATTCTCACAGTGCGCCTTTGTTAATTAAACTGTAAATTAAGATTTTTTTAATCCCAGATTTATTCAATCTTACAGCAGCTCGTGTTTATTTGACAGGGTCTAATCTGTAGACAATTCAGACATTTTATTCTTTGGTTTTAATCAAAAAACAGCCGTTAAATGTTTTTAACTCAATGGCTATTAATCTCATAATTAGCGTAGATTGGTTAGTTAGGGTGACAGTTAGTCAGTAAATTAAACGTTGAGGGATCTGTTTATCTGTCTTTATCTTGTATTTACAGAAATAAATCAATTTATTTGTAATTTTATCGTAAATGTAGGTCAAGATTTTAGACATTCTGTCTTCTGACTGTTTTTCACCATTATTATTGATGTCCTATGAAATTAATTTATTTACAGTAATTCAAACTAATATTATGGTATACAGATTGACTTTTATTCGAGCACCGGTTAAACACATCCCACCTATTATTGTTAGTGAAGTCCAGGTTGAATGTCTCCTCCTGTCATAAATCTCTGAAAAACAGGATTTGACAGATGATCAAACCCAGCATTTACCAGTGAAATAAGATCATATAAGGTTCAGAGAAACGTTTATGTGGCAGAAGGGTTAAAATCACTGTAGGGGGAGACTTGTGGACAGGTGGACAGAATAAATCAGGAGGGAGAATTGGATTACGTATAGAAAACTTCTGCAGCTGCTGATAATGACGAAGATCAACAGAGTCCGGACAGATTTATTGAGGTGTGACATTCAATAGAGAAAACATGTATAGCAAAGTCTGTATGGAAAATCTCTCTGCACTGTATTCTTACTCTTCCCTTCCTTTAATGCTTTTAAACCCTTTTTAACCTTGTCATATTACATTTTTAACGTATATTTTGTTCATTATTATTGTCTATAAACAGATGTGCTTGAGGTTCACAGACTTGATGAGTACTACTAAATTGGATATAATGTTTTAAAATGAAGAAACAATGCAGTAAGGAGAAACAGGGAAATATATATTTACTTTATTTTGTGGTGGTTTCCTCCTACCTTCTGTCACAGTCGAGTAAAAAAATATTTAACAAAAGTCTCAACATCTGTAATGATCCAGTGGAAAGATGATAGAAAACCGTCTTACATTTTAATCTAAAACCCGTTCAATGTTTGTATTGTTATCTTTTGCTGCCATCTAGTGGCAAAAATTAGGAAACGCAACGTCCTATTAAAAATTATTTCACTTTTTTTTTCTTTTTAAATTGGCCTCACGTTGATTTCCAGGTCAAAATGAAAAACAGTCTCGGGTCAGGACCTCAGAAATCTGCTGATCATTCCCACACGCGCTCTGGAATTCTGGGAAGTTTGCTCTGCCGCCTCCTGATGCTAGAATAAATACCACGGTGGTTAAAACCATAGATCTGGAAGAGAGCCACAGACAATACTCTGCAGTATTTTAGAGAAAGACCGATCATAATGTGATATGTCATTTCAAATGACTTCGAAGCTGATATGTCGTTTCAAATGTCATATGTCTTCATTTTTGTTGTTGTTTGTTTGTTTGTTTGTTTGTCTTTTTTAACTGTAGTGAGACCAAATCCAGGTTTCATGGATTTTTAAAAGGAAAAACTCTTGACGTTCCCTGCCTCCCCCTGTCAAGGGAAAGGGTGGAGTTAGATCGACCAGCATTATTTCTGGGAAGTGATTTCATGCTTTTTTTGTTTTGGCTAGAGTAATAAAAAATGAAAGACATGAAAAGTATTGTGGTTTGTTTTTTTTTTAAACTTTCATATAAGTACAGGATAGGGCTTAGTGTTTATAAGTGTGTAGGCAAATGTGTAATCCCCCGTCACCCTCCCTGCTGTAGTGTAGTTCTATTGTTTCAGTTAATTAATCTGTTTTGTCTTGTCCACTAAATTAGACCAAAATTAAATGTTAATAATAACAATGGTTATCATCAATTAATAACATCCTTTAAATCATGCCAGCTCATGTTAAACACCAGGATTCCCCAAAATCAAATGTGAATCGTATTAGTACAGAAATTAAGAAAATAAAAATCGTATTTCTTATACTAATAAAATACGTGAAAATAAGTTAATTTGTACCCTTACATACATCTGATTGCAGAGCATGCCTGAAGGGCTCTCAATTTCTTTAGTATTTTTAATAGTGTAACAGCGTTATATGGCCAGAAGGTGGCAATATGCCTACGTATTATCCTGACAAATGTGCCGCTGATTACCAGGTGTCCTAACTAAAGATGGAAAATAAGCATTGTTTTATATTATATTATAATAAATCATATTAAATTATATTATATTATACTATATTACTATAGGAAGTTTGTGAAAAGCAGGGGACTACTACTGTCTTAATAAATAGCATAGTTATTATAAATGTATTTATTTTAGAGAGGAGTTAGGCACAATTTAGTCACACTGTAATCAATTAAGGCTGGTTAGGGTCCATGTGTCCTTTTCTTTCTGCCATAAACCGCTCCAAATTTGTCTTGTGCGTTCCAACTCTGATTGGAGGACGCTCTGATTGGCCTGCTCTCCGATTGGTGAGAAGTTGGCAGCTGGGCGGGTCATAATTGCGCAGTTTGTTTGCTCGCCTGCGGCTGAAGTTTGGACCGAACTGAGCTGCCAAAGGCGAAGTGGACCTGCTGTCTAGGTTTATAGGTACAGTTTGCATGTGTGGGAGAGTCAGGAGAGGAGACAGTGGACAGGACTGGACTTTTGTCTTTATTTTTTACACCTTTCTTTCCCTTTTTCTTTTCTTTTTGTACTGCTGCTGTTCTGGCTGCTTCTCCCTGCAGCGCTTCTCAGACTGTCATTCACAAATACTACAGCCTCCTCACGTGCTTTTCCTCAGACTGAACACTTAGAAATTAGACATTTATTTCTAACTCTTAAAGTCGCTCAGGGAAAACTCACACTTTTATTTTTTAAAAAACCTTTACTGAAACTTCTGGTTCATTTATTCATATTTTTGCGTCGTTGTGATTCAGAACCAGAGAAGAACCGGCAGTTTAACATCAGGGTCTACTGTAAAGTCTGCGGATTTACCTTCATCATCATCATCATCACCATCAACACTGCAGGATTTTACAGTGAGTCTATTTTCCCAAACTTTTACAACTGTTTTTTTTTATTCTTTGACTTTTAAAATTTTACAGTTTCTGTTTTATTTAACGTCAGTTCAACTTTAATTCAAACATTAGTTAAAACATTTGTGCGTGTGATTCTCACAGTGCGCCTTTGTTAATTAAACTGTAAATTAAGATTTTTTTAATCCCAGATTTATTCAATCTTACAGCAGCTCGTGTTTATTTGACAGGGTCTAATCTGTAGACAATTCAGACATTTTATTCTTTGGTTTTAATCAAAAAAAAAAAGCCGTTAAATGTTTTTAACTCAATGGCTATTAATCTCATAATTAGCGTAGATTGGTTAGTTAGGGTGACAGTTAGTCAGTAAATTAAACGTTGAGGGATCTGTTTATCTGTCTTTATCTTGTATTTACAGAAATAAATCAATTTATTTGTAATTTTATCGTAAATGTAGGTCAAGATTTTAGACATTTTGACTTCTGACTGTTTTTCACCATTATTATTGATGTCCTATGAAATTAATTTATTTACAGTAATTCAAACTAATATTATGGTATACAGATTGACTTTTATTCGAGCACCGGTTAAACACATCCCACCTATTATTGTTAGTGAAGTCCAGGTTGAATGTCTCCTCCTGTCATAAATCTCTGAAAAACAGGATTTGACAGATGATCAAACCCAACATTTACCAGTGAAATAAGATCATATAAGGTTCAGAGAAACGTTTATGTGGCAGAAGGGTTAAAATCACTGTAGGGGGAGACTTGTGGACAGGTGGACAGAATAAATCAGGAGGGAGAATTGGATTACGTATAGAAAACTTCTGCAGCTGCTGATAATGACGAAGATCAACAGAGTCCGGACAGATTTATTGAGGTGTGAAATTCAATAGAGAAAACATGTATAGCAAAGTCTGTATGGAAAATCTCTCTGCACTGTATTCTTACTCTTCCCTTCCTTTAATGCTTTTAAACCCTTTTTAACCTTGTCATATTACATTTTTAACGTATATTTTGTTCATTATTATTGTCTATAAACAGATGTGCTTGAGGTTCACAGACTTGATGAGTACTACTAAATTGGATATAATGTTTTAAAATGAAGAAACAATGCAGTAAGGAGAAACAGGGAAATATATATTTACTTTATTTTGTGGTGGTTTCCTCCTACCTTCTGTCACAGTCGAGTAAAAAAATATTTAACAAAAGTCTCAACATCTGTAATGATCCAGTGGAAAGATGATAGAAAACCGTCTTACATTTTAATCTAAAACCCGTTCAATGTTTGTATTGTTATCTTTTGCTGCCATCTAGTGGCAAAAATTAGGAAACGCAACGTCCTATTAAAAATTATTTCTGACTTTTATTCGAGCACCGGTTAAACACATCCCACCTATTATTGTTAGTGAAGTCCAGGTTGAATGTCTCCTCCTGTCATAAATCTCTGAAAAACAGGATTTGACAGATGATCAAACCCAGCATTTACCAGTGAAATAAGATCATATAAGGTTCAGAGAAACGTTTATGTGGCAGAAGGGTTAAAATCACTGTAGGGGGAGACTTGTGGACAGGTGGACAGAATAAATCAGGAGGGAGAATTGGATTACGTATAGAAAACTTCTGCAGCTGCTGATAATGACGAAGATCAACAGAGTCCGGACAGATTTATTGAGGTGTCCCTTCAGTGATACTCTTTTTCTTCTAACATGAGAAAATATTATCAAGAACAGGATTTATCACATAGACATAAAGCCTCCTACAGTACGTGTACTCCACCTTTAAGTTACACATTTTTGCTATTAAATTATTCACAGCAGATGCAGAGGTTCATTACACGTCCCAGTTTTATTCTGGTGATTCTTATGAAGACATCATAAATGTGGCTTTTTATGAAGCACTTGATGAAATATTGCATTTAATAAATTCATAGGACATTATTATAGTTTGCTAAGCAGCATTTTGGTGGCTTGTTTAAATATTTAGATACAAACTGTTGAAAATTAGTAAATTATTTTTTGCTAAAGTATATTTTTATGCTTATCTAAATGCACAGGTAACGTTTTGCTTAAGTTATGGTGAAAATGTACACATACAATGTCTGTACCATGAACAGCATGTTTTTTTTTTAAATGGGCAGGTTTGTTTGTTACATAAAATAACAGTATTATATAATTAGAAATTCAATGTGTTATCTAGCAAAACAAACTAAAAAAATAATCTTTCAACGGTGAAAGGGAAAAACTCTAAAGTCAAAGCTTCAACAAACAAAATCAGCCAAAAAAATGAATTTAAAAAAAGCCAAAAAGATGCTAACAATTTGTCTAACCTTGATCGTATTACTGAATAACCAAAGGCCAGAAAGTTAAAGGTAAATTCAGAAGTAGCGAAGGTAAGTAAAAAATAAAACTTCAAGTTAGCATAAATAAGTGCTTCAAGTCAGTAAATGTATCATATAAAGTGATCTAAGAATATGGCTGTAGAAACAGAGACCAAAATAAATCAGCGGAGAGGCAGCAGGGTTTTATCAGATGATGGAAGTTGACCTGAGACTGGTATATGGACAAAAAAGGAAGACGTATCTGAATTGCGGTACATGAGTCAAGCACTGTACCAAAAACATGACAGGATACCTTGAAATGTCTTAACTTTGATTGAAGTGAAACTAAAATTTTGATTGTGCTTGGCTTACTGTTTGTCCTCGAAGGTCAAAAATCACCTCGAAGTCTTCCAAAATATTGTGAAATATATCTCACAGTGGAAAAGAAGGTCCTGTAAAAAACCCAGATCCATCTGTGGGTTCAATTCTTTCCTTCTTGTCTTTGGGTATAACTGATTATTAACATTAAAATGCCTATTTACCATCCTGAACAATTACTTGGCACAAACATTGATTGCGTTGCACATTCATCAAACTGAAAAAAATCTTTTTTTTTTCCCCTTATTGCATTTTATTGCAGAGTAAAAAGGCTGATTGTTCACCTTTACTGAGAAATAAACAAAAATAATGGAGGTTTTCTGGATGTGTCTGCTGCTGGAGATGGTCCTGATGTCCACAGCTGCCAGAGGTAAGTAACTGAAGCTCTGCGCTATTAAAAACCAAGGAACACACTGCCAGTATCTTTATCCTCCAGTACTTGGAAACACATTTAGTCTTCCTTAGATTTCTTTGACATGGAGTAATTTCACGTTGTGTTGTTGGACCCTGGTTGTTGCTGCTGAGCTGCTGTCTCAACCCCAGGAGGCCCCTTTCCCTTAAACTCTATGGTTTTGAAGGATTGTGGTTTGAATGCTTTGGCTGTCTTTGTCTGAGACCAAAAGCAAGATGAAGACAATAGGAGCCTGTAGCCTCCTCCTTCTCCTCTGTCCTCTCTAAAAACTTAACGTCAGATTCCATTGTGTGCTTTGAAAACCGCATGCGTTGTCAACATCTTTTCGGTGTGCGTTGACATAGTTCTCCTTGTTTTGGGAGTACCTGCAGATACATGCGTCATTGGGTGACCCATACAGATTGATATTTGCTTGAGTAAATATGACAAACATAAGAAAAAACTAAACTCGAATCTCTAATGTTTTGAGTTCAAATCCACAAGTACAGTAGGTAGGAGTGAGTAAAGACACAGGATTCACAGCTGTGTTTAGTTTGCTGTTAAACTTTAACTCTGACCTGTTATTGGGTTACTTCAAATAATTACAGTTGGTGGATTGGTTGGTTGGTCGGTTTGTCAGTTGTTTGGTAATATGTCTTTTCTAGGCTACATTTTAACAGTCCACTTTGTGGCTCTTATCTATACAGTAGATACACATGTGTATGTTTGAAGGACTATATGCAACATAAATAATGTATAGAAACAACACCTTAGGGATTTCTTTTCAGTAGGGATGGTCTGATCCGATACTCAGGATTGGTATTGGTCAAAATGTCAGGATCAAACATCGATAAAACTCTGTCTGATCCAAGTCCTGAGCCCAAATTCCCAACTTAACTTTTGCGTGACATGCTGCGAACAGGGACACTATTGTGTCCACCCGCACCATGCTAAAACAAAAAAGGATTGAGGTCAGTATTGGCACATACTCCAAGCTGAAGTACTGGCATTAGACATGAAAAAGTTGTATTGGGTCATCTACTTTTTAGTACAAAAACTATTGTTATAATGCAATGTAAAATTGCTCTCACTTTCAATTTACTTTACATTCAATATCTCTCACTAAAATACATTGTGTGTCATTTTTGAATTGGTACCCTGACGTCTTTACACACCAGCTAGCCCACACACCAGCCTGCAGGCAGGGGACCTAGGGGGCAGATAATGACAGAGCTGGTGCCCATTCCCAAAGATCACACCAATGATGAGTTTTCTACAGAAACAAGGCCGCATTCAGTGAGCCAAGGCCAAGCTAGTGTGCAGACACGGGGCAGAAAGTAAACACAGGGTCATAGACCGCAAAGAGATGAGATTAGATTAGCCCATTAGTGAAGTTTGCTGTGCAATGCCACAGCATTTCCTCCCCCTCCTCACTGCTTACATTCTGTCGACTGTACCGGGGCAGGAGAGCGTAAAAGGGGACAGAATGAAGGGAGAGAGGAAGGAAGATAGGTTTTAGGACCCAAGGACACAAGAATTGTCATGGGTGATAAGGGAAAAGAAGTACAATTAGGGAAAGGGAAAGGAAAAAGGAAAGTAGCGAGGAAAGGGAAATGTCACTGAGAGGCCATGAGAATAAAACCTTGGAGTGGACAGAGGAACTAAATGCCATTATCTCCTTATAGAGTCTGAGGTTCCCCCCTTATCTGATTAAAGACCTGAATGGTTTCCACAGTATCGATGTTGGTGCAGTCAGACTTTGTTGGGGGAAATCTTTTCGCTTTTCAGATGGTTTAATTTTTATTCCCAATAACAGACATGTCCAAAGTCTTGTCCTGGGAACAATCATGTATCCAGGAAAAACTTGCATCTAAAAGTCAAACTTAATTCATTTTTGTATGTTATTGTGGAAAAGTAATTTTAACTTCTTGATTCAGCTACTGTTTAATTTTTAAAATGTTCTTCATTTGATTTTATTGACTACAGTCTGACCTATGTCATCTTTGCTGGCTATCTAAATCTTTTCTCTGGCTTTTGGTAATATTTGTTCATATGTTTTTGTTTTTACACAATACTGGGTAAATCTAAGATGTCATTTTTTATTCTTACTCTAATGCCAGGCAAATGTTTGTGTACCTTTTGGCCAGTTTGCAGCAACATGGGTTTAAAATTTGTACAAACACTTGCAAATACTTGCATGTAGATTACAAGACAAAAAAGGTTTCAGCTTAAAATGATTGTGGCCTAAACTCAAGGACACAATTGCTTTTTGTTAGTTGTGACCTTTTCTTCTTTACTGTACAGTATGTTTTAGTGCTTTTGGACTAACATCGTCAGAGTAATTTCATGCAATGCTTTGTAAAATGTGATTTTGGGGGAAAATGTTACCTTGAATGAGCCCCAGGTATTTACAGTTTCCTCTTATTTTACAGCAAAAATTGTAACAGTGTTAGTTTATCATCTGAAGACACAATGGGCTTTAAATGTATATTTGCAGTTTTCTTACCGCAGATCCTTAAGTTACGGTAAATTTACAGCTACTGTAAAAATCCAGAGAGTTACGCCTAAACCAAACCTTTATAAAGTCTGTAAAGTTACTCCAATGTACAGTGGACAATAGCATCAGCAGCAGGAGTGCTCTGATGAATCATTGGACACCATGAAAAGCCAAACAGTTTTAACGATTGTTACTGGAAGTTACATTTACCCCCGCTGTCCTTGGAGTGGAGTGGAGTTTTCCACTGTTAAGGCTGATTGGCTAGAGGAAGCAGGAACATTGGAACAGTCCAGTTTTTTGTTTTGTGTTTTTTTTTCCTCCTCTGGATTGCTGTGAGGCACAGAGATAAAGAGGGAAATAAGGAAAGGGAAAGTGTCAGATAATCAGGCACAGATGAGAGAGAAAGTTGAAAACAACCGACGTGAAACAGAAACAAGAGATAAGTGCAAGGATGCAGACAGATATAGATAAAGATGTAACATTTATGTTTTTATTACAGCAGATGACACAGTAACTGCTCTCCTGAGACTTACACAACCACAGCGTTTGAAGTGGAATCTGGGCCAGTGTGTGTGTGAGTGTGTGTGTATATGTGTGAGTGAGCATGGGACGGAGCAGCTGAGAGATTAACATTCTCTAAGCAGCATCGGGCTTCAATGCAGAGGTCACAGACTGGTATTGTTGGCCAGAGAATTCTGGAATACCTGCTGCAGACCAGGGATCATCTGTGGGGATTAGACTCTGACGCTCTGTTCGTACACTGTTTTTGTTTTGTTGTTTTTTAACTGTGTGTCTGTACACTAAATATACTGCTCCCACTGGTTAGTTATATTTGTGGAAATGGGAAAATAACAGCCCTTCAGGGGTGGCTAAACTTTTTCCAAAGCTGCTCAGATTGGATTTGACCAAAATAGCATAAGGCCAATGGGTTTTTTTTTCCAGAGATACTGAGGACTATAATTAAACACAAGTAAAAAAATAAAGTTCAATTTACACATCTGGTTTTGACATAAAAAAGCATTATTTAAGGAAAATCATGAAGCAATTGTTGCTTACTTTCCCCCATAGAGGGTGTTGTTAATGACATTTTTATTCCCATCAGCCAAGTTTCATGTTTAAATGTTTCCGGTTTGCATATTATCAGTTAATTTACTCCAAACATTTCCACAGGACCGAGCCAAACAACGAAAGGTGGAGATTATCATTTTGAGGCCTAGTCTAAGAAATGCACCTAACAAGGCTAACAGTGGAGCAGAGCTACACTGCCGATGTGCTTTTTGAGTAAAAAGTCCTACCTGGAAGCTTTATATACAAACATTGCTATTAACATATGATACGAAGTGCAAAAATATGTTTTCTTCCCACATGACTGCATGTGCATGCATTATAAACCAACATTTTTATAAACAAAGGGAGCAGGAAAAAGATCGTTCTCATTGAAACGGCTGCGGTCAGACATTATAATTTTCCTCCGTGGTTATACCTGATTATTTGCTGTGCTGAAATGCAAAATCACGCTAACATCTGTCTTTTACCTCGTTGCTTTGGAAATAGATTAAAAAAAGGAAGGATATGCTGAGAAATTAGATGATGAGTGTGGGATGTGTACGTGGTTTTCCGAAGCACCGCTCTGTCCAAACAATTTAATGCTTCCCAGGTGATTGGGTTGTTTTATAGACCACCCAATATCCAGAGGGAGGGGGCGGGAGGGCAGATGTTGCAGAGATAAGAAGTGCCGTTTGTTGTTGCACCACAGAACAACAAACATTTAAAAATACATCTTGCACCGAAGCTGACAAAGCTGACGAAGACATTAAGTTGCTGGAAGAAGAGAAAAGGCTTGTTTCTCTGACTAATAACTGTGGAGAGTAATGGCAAACTCACACTAACAATGACGCGGAGAAAAAAACAAATGAAAGAACCCACAAATAGGAAGATTTTTGTAAAACAGTTATAAATATTTAGAATTCTGTGAAGAACTGTAATCTCCTAAATGGGCAACTGTTGTGTTTGTAAATCACTTGATGATTTGTGAACTTAAAAAAGGTCAGTGTCCAGAGGTTTTACAGATCAGTCTGAAGATCCTACCACCAGTCCTGGATCTTAGCATTTTGGTCTGTTAGATGGTTAGAAATTCTAAAGTTGAATATTGTTTTTCTTCATCATTAGTAGTTATGTATTTTACCTAAATATATTGTGCAGTTTTTAAAAAAGTCTCTGAATATAGAGTAAAACAAGACTTAGGAGCAGGAGCAGCAGAGCATCTTTGTTCCTCACATGAGTAAACAAATACATTCCACGGACAGATGCTTTAAACACACACATTAAGTCCATTGTGAAGAGACACACACACACTCGCAGAGATTAACACCAGTAACGCTGCTCCTCTTTTACTTCTATTCTGTGAGCACGTGGCCGATCCTGAATTACAGCTAACCCTCGTAAACACCATTTGACACAATGTTAACTATTATACGGCCTG